TTATGCATTTGTTTCTTTTTGCTGTAAGGAGGGTAGTCTGACGGATTTTTATTTTTACTCACACTAGATTTATATTTCATTCCTCCCTTGACCTATATTAAGATTTGAGTTTAACTTATAGTATGTCTTTATTATAAAATTGAGAGTAGCTGGAATATTCCTAATTTTGTTATGTTTTCTATTAAGTTGGAAATTGCTGATTCCACTCCGTAATGTGCACATTGGCAGCTTTGGTGTTGATTTGTAAAACCTGCAATTAAAAAAATGGCCACTTGGGGGCAGTGGAGACAAGTTATGAACATAAAAATGACATAATATAATATAATATTTTCCATTTATATGGTGAATTTAACAAACATTGATTTATTTACACATCCAGCAGTTAAGGGGGGGCATTATTTTTAACATTTTGACAGATTATCTTATGTGACACTTTATGAACATACCCAGATACATACCAATATTTTAACAAAATCTTATTCACAGAGGTGTAATATCATAAAACAAACTGTTAAAATGTTACAAAAATACTCTATAAAGTATCTGTATAGATATAGGTGGACTATCCAAACCAAGGGATAAGTTTGCCCTAAATGCTAAATATGTTTAACCAGCTAGTTGCTAACTGTGTCTATCTGCTGTTGTGTGCTGAACAGTTAGTGTACAGTGTATTTTTTAGAGCTTTTTTTACTGACAGCTTACAGCTGCCTGGTGCACAGTCCAACGGAAATTATTAATAATGCTGGGGAGGGTCTTACTTTTTTTTTTTTTTTAAAGTGAAATCTAAAATTCAAACCACCTCCTCTTCCCGGTCTTCATACAGTCCCTATCTATTGTTTCTCCCTGTTTCTGTCTTGAGGACTCTTGTTTTGTGGATATCAACTGAATTGTGGCCACAGGACTTGAACACGATGGAGAACAACACGACCATCTTTCAGGATGTCATTCGGGTTGTAAATGTGACTGAAATGCCTCTGAACCCTCTTGAAGAGCAGGTCATAACAATATTTTTGACAATGCTAATCTGTGTAGTTGGGATTGCTGGCAATGTCATGGTGGTGCTGGTTGTGCTGCGCACTAAACACATGGTCACCCCGACTAACTGTTACCTCGTCAGTCTGGCTGTCGCAGACCTCATTGTGTTGCTTGCTGCCGGGCTCCCTAATATCTCTGATGTTGTAGCCTTCTGGATATACGGATACACAGGATGCTTGTGTATAACATATCTTCAGTACCTGGGCATCAACGTGTCGTCCTGCTCCATCACAGCCTTCACCATCGAACGATACATTGCTATTTGTCACTCCATAAAAGCACAGTTCATATGCACCGTTTCCAGAGCCAAGAGGATCATAGCTGGAGTCTGGGTCTTCACCTCACTTTACTGCATTATGTGGTTCTTCTTAGTGGACACAGATGAAACCGTCTATACCAACGGAGTGGTGGTCACTTGTGGCTACCGTGTCTCCAGGAGCTTCTACATGCCAATCTATTTCTTGGACTTTACTTTGTTCTACGTGATCCCGCTTGCTGTGGCCACTGTGCTGTACGGGCTCATCGCGAGGATTTTGTTCATGAGCCCTCTGCCCTCGCATCTGAACGACAGAGCCGGAGGAGGGTCGGTCCACCAGGGTCACTCCAACAGCACCAACAAGGCCAACAAGGGTGCAGTCTCTGCGAGGAAACAGGTAATGTGATGGAGAGGCTAGACTGACACACAGTTTAGAGTAAAAGGAGAAATATCCACCTTTATGAGAAAATACTGAAATCTTCTGAATAATGAATAAGAATAAGAAATAAGAAATGAATGAGAAATACAAATAAGAAAAAAAAATTTCAGTCCCAAGTTGTTCAACCAATCCCCATGAATTCTGCACAACCTTGTAATTATGTCTAATCACACTTTTTGAGCCATACGTCACCAGATTTACTTCCTTGTTTCTAATTGTGAAGATGCAGACCATGAAGGCATGTGCAACGCAAAAGTATCACATTTACCCCAAACAGTGCGTTTTTATTCTCACATGTTGTCTTTAATTTTTAATGAGTTTTACACAAAAAATACAGCAACATTTTTAAGAAAAGCTGCGATGAAATCGTGCATTTTAGGCCACAAGAATCCCAAAAACAGCCCATGAAATCCTGGACACATACAGGTGGGTGTGCTGTAAACTTTTGTACAGACATTCATGGTTCCCAGAGGATGAATCCAACTGATTTGATGATCCCCTGCCTTTTCTTCTAGCACCACTATGAAGATCACATTTGTGATTATGACTTAAGTTTATTAACAACTATTAGATGGATTGCCATGAAATTCAGACATTCATGACCAGGATGAATTGTAAAAACTTTGGTGATCCTGATCAGCTTCAGCTATACTTTGTGTTTAGTTCTAATTAGAAATGCTATTAAACTACATTAAAATAAGATTGTGAAATTGGTAAATATTATACATTCTAAACACACAGTGCTGGTCAGTTTTTGAAACCTCCACAACTTTCTGACATCAGAGTTTGGCATGTGTGACAATTTCTGTAATTTTCCCAAAAACTGACAATCCGACATTCACTTCACGCTGTGATTGGCTATCTGTGTGAAGATGAGTCAGGGTTTGAACTTCTCACTCAAGCTCTTTTTTTTATTCTTTATACCAGTGGTTCTTCAATATTGTACCCCCTTTGAAATATTTCTTCCACCAAGTATCCCCAGACCAGTGCAAATCATTTTCGATAGAAGAGTAAAAAAAATCCACCATCAGTGTCCGATTCACTAAACAACAACATTGTAACTCTAAAAGCAAACAATGCTTTGGAAGGGTTGCAGCTCCTTGAAGTAAATAACATTAAAACATATTTTTCCTGATATTGACAGCATTTCGTTGGGTCTATTTTTGCTTTTTTTTCACTTTTAGCTGTAATGCTGCTACGTTTTATCCACAAATCCATTTTATTGATTTTCATCTGCCATTCAGTATCTAAACTGGCTTACAGCTCACAGCGAACAAACATCATCATGAACGTGATTGCGTTCGTTGCTCTTTTATTGTGTGAGGGCTGCAGTTAACGATTGCATTTTTTTAAAAAAAGGCCTATTGGTGGCTTCCTAATAGCTCACCTGCTAGAGCTGGCGTCCCGTGTACCAAGGCTGAGTCCTTGCTGCAATGGCCCTCGACCTGTGGCCCTTTGCTGCATGTCCTCCCTCCTCTCTCTCACCCATTCACTGTCCCTATCAATTAAAGGCAATAAAGCCCTTTTCAAACCATCCTTTAGTGTGGTCACTCAGAACACCGCAGTCGCACAGGACATCATACAAACTGTTGTAATCTAGCAGAACCTGTGAGCATGTTAGCATACTGACATTGGTATTTAGCACAGCTGTCCCCATCAACCTCACAGAGTTAGCACAGGTTGTTATGTCATACAGTCTGCCTGTTAAGATAATTAAAATTGCACTCTTATTCATTATTTACACTCTTTTTCCTTTGTGTCCTTGCTCTTCTTTCTCTTTCTTTGTATCACCAGATAACAAAGATGCTGGCCGTGGTGGTCATCCTCTTCGCGTTGCTCTGGATGCCGTACCGAACCCTGGTGGTGGTCAACTCCTTCATCGACCCGCCTTACCACAACACCTGGTTCCTGCTCTTCTGCCGGATGTGCATCTACACCAACAGTGCCATCAACCCCATCATTTACAACCTCATGTCTCAGAAGTTTCGGGTCGCGTTCAAAAAGCTCTGCAAGTGCAACTGGCAACGCAAGGAGAAGGCAGCAGAGTACAATGTGCCGATGTATTACAGCGTGATAAAGGATTCATCCCATGAGAGCAATGAGCTTGTCACAGAGCAGGAGGAGGTGAGCGGCCAAACCACCAAGAGGTTCAACAAGACGGATGATGATGCAAGCACTTTAAGTATTTCTTAATAAAGGCTTTGCTGAGTTCTTCTTGCTGAGAATTGTGAAAATCTTTCATTTTAATGTTTAATATTGCTGTTATTTCCACCTGTTAGAAAAAGTATTTATAGATAAACCCATATTCTTCTTGTTCGCTGTGATACAAGTTGTATTTGTGGTGTGGTAGTTGTGGTACTTTTACATCAATATTGTAACTGTGTTGTAAATACAGCACGTGAAACCAGGCTTTAGTGTACTTCACACTGCTTAATGGGAACTAATGGCATTATAATGTGTGTCACCATTTCACAATAGTGTAAGTGGTTCTTTGAAATGTTTTTAGAAATATCATAATCACCATTTGAGTGCACATAAAAAAAGAAGACCTGGCAAAGACAGACAATTTATGTGAAACGTGATACTGTAGGTGCATATTATGAATTTTGCCTTCAGACAATGTCCAGACTTTATGTTAACTAGTTCTGTCATGAACCAGCACTGATTTTGTGCAACAATGACCTAATAAAATTATCAGTATGAGATGTCTCTTGATAACAAGTGTACTTGTGCTTTTCATGCGCTCAGGCTGGAGTGCTCTGTGTCCTCAGATGTTCCACGCTCTTCAACAGCACTGATGAACAAACATCCCAGTTTTTCACCTTTTTTTAATTTTCAATGTATCACATCCATATACTGTATAATTAAAAATGGATGTAGTCTTTGTGATGTCACACACAGGTTTCTAAAGAGCTGTTGTGAAGCTCAAATGTTTTTTGCTGTAAACATATTTATTTCTGTTGTAAAGTTGGGCATTTTAATATGGGGCCTTATGGAGATTGAATCACTTGAATCACCAGCCTCAAGTGGCCATTTGAGGAACTGCAGTTTCGGTTGCTTTCATGTTGGCTTCATTTGGAAACCAAGGACGTTGCAGCTAAATCATTTTTGGTATTTAATTGAAAAATAATTATTGTTGAACCTCATTTAGGTGGATATTTATTGAGAGGACAAACTGAGCTTATTGTCATAAAATATGAATAAAAAAATGTATTTGTTTGTCATGACCAAATACCTGCAAAACAAATGACACCTCTGCCTCAGCTGTACCTTGTGTTTACTGCAAATTAGCAAATGTTAGCATGCTAATGTACTAATCTCAGATCATTACGCCTGCTAAACATCAACATTTTAGCATTGTCATTTTCAGACTCAGTGTTATTTATACAGCATCATGATCACTATATATATGTTAACAGAGTAGCTACTGTAAGCAGCTTCTATAGACAGGTCTGCAAGGCTAACTACTTAAACTAGTCTCTACACAGCCATAGTCCACCTACACAGCTGTTCTCACTCATGTTGTCACATTATACACCCTCTCAGACCTGACTGACATCTCATTCACTCTCCTCATAGATTTATTACACTTGTTGGGCATAATCATTATTAGATTAGATGATTATTAAATAATAGGCTTTGGTGTCATTGTGTCATTCCCAGAGTAGCTCCACTTCAACTTAACTAGAGGTCTGATTATTATTTAAAACGCCTGTGTGGGTGCAGGGCCTTTAATATTAAGTGTTTTAAGCCTCAGCAGCAAATAATTACTATACCAGTACTTCCTCTTTCTCTCCTTGACATTGTCACCGGATTTACCAGCCAAAAACAACCCCTCAATCCATCTTCTGAGACTATTTCTGACTCCAGATTTGCATGTGGGAGAAGTTTATATCATTAGACTTACAGTCTGTCAAACTGGGCGGCAGGAGGTAATAATCTCTGAAGCTCTGATAACAAACAAATCAGTTCCAGTTCAAAACACCAGCCAATTCAGAGAATATACATAAAGCCTTTTTTAGCCACCGGAGAGACATGCAACAAATTTGACAGCAAGTGCATCATGGGAAACATGTTGTGACGTTAAGTGTTGCCAACGAGTTTTCTGTCTCCCTCGTCTCGTTGCTGTTGAACTGCTGTCAACCGCATGTCTCAACATATCCAGCTCTCAAGACTCGTGTATGATTCCTTTTCGCAATCAACATATTTATATATTCTGTATATTGTACACGTGTGAGCCCAATGATGATTGTGTGTTTTTAGCATATTTTGTAAAAATGCTCGTAGTTTCCTGTGTACTGTGGGATTAACAAATTGTCCTTTTACAGCCCTAAAAAAATTTACATTTTCTTTATTCATGAGAGGGTTTTTTGTGTCAAATAAATGTTAAAATAAATCATGTCAGTATTCATCCAGTATTTTCTTTAGAAAATATAGATTTAATTTAATTGAAACTGTGTTTGCATACAGCATCAGCGCTGGCCCTGAATGGGGATAACAGATTATTTTCAAGGACACACTTATAATTCTCTTCTGCTTTGTTTTGCATTAATTAGCCCATGTTTGATTGAGCATATCACATCTGTGTTTGCTTGTTTTTCCAGGTTCCTGTTGTAGCCCTATTGTGTAAAAAAAAAAAAAAATCAAGACTTACACCTTAGCATGCAGATAACAGTCAGAATAATTAAGCAAAACATATGACACTAAGAAAAAAGGGCAACATGCAGCTTCAACAACATGTCACATTGGTTTGGGTGCCTTAGAGTGAGGTTACTGTCCATAATTAAACTTGTCAGTGTTTTCTAATGTGGGAGCCATATTCTCTGTCACGTCGAGAATATTTAAAGCAATTAAGTCCCTCTGGACACTGTGCAGGCTGGATAGATGCTGATAAATTCCATATAAGGAGTTTTTATGATAAAAGACATGTCAGGAGGGTCTGGAGAAAAGAATCAATGAAAGAAGAACTACACACAGAGAGACCTCCTGCAGAAATGGTGGTAGTGGCTTACTTGCACCCACAGCTGCCATTTATATTTGTTCTTCTTAGATGTAACAGCATGGATCAATAATATACTGTTTTGTTGAATATCACATAGAAGAATACCTTTTTGCTTAACTGAAGGACTCTTTTGTGCTTTCTGGCTATTATTAAGTCTCACATTTTATCTAAAATTCAATATCTTTTCTCAAGACTTTCATCTGAAAATTGGGTTACTTCCTTTTATTCCTGAAAACTTAACTTTTTTCAAAGATTTAATGCTTTAATCTTGAAGTTTCAATACCTTCCTCTGCTTGGTGGGTCAAATTTGTTAGCAAACTAAACTCAAATGTCCAGACAGACAACGCTAGCCACTTTCTGTGCAGATGTAACTCCTTTTAAAGCAACAACTTTAACAAATAGTGGCAGGTTGGCCCATTATGTCGTGTTGTTTGACAGCATGCTCTGCTTGGTAATGAAAGTTCTGAGCAGGGACTTGTCCGATCACAGATTTATTCAGTCTTCTGTAGAAAATAACCTGCAAGGTGATGTCTAAGAGTGTTTCCCTTCATGTAACAAAGAAATAATTCAACAATTCATTAACTGTTCAGGCTGACAATCAAGAACTGATTTCCCTCCAGTTGCTTAAAAGCTTGCACTTTGTGGTTTATTAGCTGGTGAGAGAAGTGTTTTTCAGTATGATTTGGTTTCTTTATTCCTCTCCTTTTCACTCATACAATAGAGACTGTGTCCACTCATTTTGTACTAGACCTTTTACAACATTTCATGCAAAGAAAACCAGAAAACATAGTTAAACATTTAGGGAAATGCTCTTATTTAGACTTGAAGGTCCACATCTCTGCCGTATCTGTCCTTTAACTATTAAGCTACAGCTGGTTAGCTTAGCTTAGCATAAACACTGAAAACAGGGGGAAACAACTAGCCTGCTGTCCAAAGGCTACAAAATCTTCCTACCAGTACCGATAAAGCAAAGTGAGTGTTTTTTAAGCTTTGATTAGGTTGTGGATTTTGTTACCTTACAGGCTAGCTGTTTCCACCTGTTCTAAGTCTTTATGCTAAGCTAAGCTAGTTTCCTCCTGCAGCTGTGGCTTCAAATCTAACGTACAGACGTGGAAGTGGTATTGAATCTTCTCATCAAACTCTTGTCAAGAAAACGTACAAGCCTATTACTCAAAATGTAAAACTTTTACTTGTCTTTGTTTTATTATAATATAAACTGAATAGTTTTTAAAAATCACAGACAGAGCAGCAATGTCTAAACTGTAATATTCAAATGAGAGGATGCTGGTAGAGAGACTTCGCAAACACTTTAAACATAGTAAATCTCACGCCTGGTGCCCAGTGAACCCACAACATTCACTCACAACGCATTTGAAGCTGGGACATCACCACCGGGCAAATTCAAGGTTTTAATGACCAAACAGATGCAGCTGCTGCACAGATGTGAAGGCATGAGGCTGAAAGCTAAGTTTGCAATTCTTATGGTCCATGGGAAGAAAATGAGCTAAATATGCAGGTTCATTCATAGTGGAAAAAGTTACAGCTTCTTATCATCAAGCTTATTTTTGATGATGATGATCCAGCAGCTCCATTAGCAACATCACAGAATAGACATAAATTAGGAGAAAGATGGTAACAGTGTCTATTCACTGTTCAGGACATGGTTGGGCTCAGAGACAATGTTGTTGGTGAGCCTTAATATGTTATTACTGAGCAGTTTTGACTTTAAAGAAGTGGACAAACATTCATCAACAATACTGAGTTTCCTGACCAGTGTTGGGCAGTAACTTATAACTAGTAATGATATTACTTTTCCCAGTAACTAGTAGTGCAACTACTACTAATGAATTTCTGTATCTGTAATAAGATTACAATTACTCTTCAGCAGCTGGAAATATCCCATTACTTTGATTTTAACACATAAATCTGGAATTTAATTGTCGTAAGTCTGAATTTTGGGGAGAAAGGACACAATTACCAATTTTGTGGGAAGTAGCAGAAAAATATTAGTAGTGTAACTAATTACTGTTGGATGGGAGTAAAAAGTAAAGTAATTATATTCCTTTTTAAAAGAGTAATGAGTCATCTATTACATTTTTTGAGTAACTAGCCCAACACTGTTCCTGACTAATATGTTGTATATGCATTGATTAAATCTATTGGTAAATCTATTTATTATTTGCCTTTAGAATGTGATTCTGTTGATTTACGAGAATATTGGATTTAATGTTTGATAACACTGTTGGATTAATGATGTTTCAATATGTCTGCTCCTAAATTGACTTGTTATTTTTTAGTTGTTAGATGTTTTTTTTTTTTTTTGTGATTCATGTGAATTATTGTATTTTTGTATGTTTTTGTTTTTTTAGTGCCTGTTAACTAATCACTATGGTCCTCTGATTGGATATTTGGATGATTGAGGCACCTCATATAAGTGTTGTTATGCTGCCTGTAAATGTCATGAAGGTCATGTAGATTTAAACGTTGTTGAATAGATCAATATATTTTCAGGAGTAAGCGAGACAGTGTGCGGGAATATCTTATTGTTTTCAATACTGCAGACAGACAAAGTTAAACCATGTAAAAGGAAAATAATGGGGATTTACTCAAGTACAATGTTGACTTTACTTTGAGTATTTCCATTTCTGCTACTTCTACTCCACTACATTTCAGAGGGAAACATTGTACATTTTACT